GAGTCGCCACCTAGTATTGAAGGAATTAGAAACCTAAAATGGGCACTAGATCGGAGATTCTAGGGTAAGGAGTTGGATATGCTTTTGGAAAGATATTTAGTCACCCAAAAGTGTCATTTTCTAAGAAAAGTACCACTTCTAGCGTAGTCCTAAATTTATCTCCTAAAGTATTTTATTTTTGTCAAATTATTTTTTTCAATTTTGAAACTCCAATTTTCTAAGTCAAATTAAGCTTTTTATTTTTTAGCATGGCATCGTATTGAAACGATCGTCGGACCCATTCCGTTGGGAGACACGGGAGTTTAAACATTTGATTCACTTTTTGAGTCTCGACACAACCGATGTGTTAAAGAACACTTATTTATTAAAATAATTTTTTTTAACTAACAACGAGTCCCTATCGGATAGGAGACTTTGTTAAGAGTTTTATGATTTTTTTATTTTTTATTTTTATCTACTTTTCTTTTATTTTTTTATTTTTTTATTTGATAAAAGATCGTCATTAGTCCCTAAAGAATTAGGAGACTTGACGAGTCATTCACCCATTACTTACCAAGCCTAATTACTAAATAAATAAATTAAAGCTACACTAACCAAATAAATGAAAGAAAATTCAAATATTGAAATTTTAAAAAAACATACACACATAAAATAAATTCAAAATTAAAATTACATTAATTAAAATATTTACGGACAATTAAAATATTAAATTCTAAGTTAACATAAATTAACAAACATGTATAAAATAAACTCAAGATTAAAATTATATTAATTAAAATAATTAAAGATAATTTTAATATCTAAATTAAATATGAAATAAGAATATCCATAAAAATAAAGAATTTTTTTTTTACTTTTTTTTGGGTTTGGGTTGGACTGTCCAGCCTACCCAAAAATTCAGGCTGGTTGGACTGTCAAGCCCTGGCCACAGGTGGGTTCGGCTAAGCCCAACCCACACGTCCTTTTTTTAAAAAAAAAAAAAGAGCACAAGAACATAAACCAAACCAATTTTTTAGGAATTTGGGATCAAAACACATTTTTTTTCCTTGCTTTCTCTCCCTTTTTCCCGTTTTCTCTCTCTTCTTTTTCTTTCTTCTTCATCTTCTCTTCTTCCCGAATCCAACCTCCATGGACGAACCAAGACTGGTTCTTCCTTCCTTCTCTTCCACTCCTCTTTCTTTTTCTTTCCCATTCTCTCTTTCTTCTCTTTTCTTTCTTTTTCTTTCCCTTTTCTCTTTTCCCGCGTCTGTTCTCTCTTTCTCTCCTATGGCCAAGACTACTGGTTCGTCCCTCCACCCCCTTTCCCTCTCTCTCTTATTCCTTTCCTCCTTCCTAAAACCCTTAATTTCCTCTAGATTGAAAAACCCAAATCAATTTTTTTTAAAAAAAAAACTTTCCCCCATTGTTTTTGACCGAACCCTAAGTTTTCCAATTCTTTATTTATTATTTTTTTTGTTCGATTGGTCTAATTGACTTGATTTCTTTCAAAATCAAGTCAATCCAGACCATTTAGGACTCAATTTTAACGAATCAATTTTGCTCAAAAATTCTCAGGAACCCTAGGTTTCAATTGGTGTCAATTGAGCTTCAATTTCGAGTTTAAACCCCAAATTGAAACCTAAGTGAACTTAGTTAGCCCTAATTTTAAACCCCAAACATCAATTTCTAATCAAACAACAAAACCCCCAAATTTGAACCTTGACAGTGCAATTCGAAAATTAAGAGAAATTGGTTTACCTAGGCGAAATTGACTTGAGAAAAATGATGAGATGTAGCTGCTCCAACAGGTAATTTCTCTCTCTCTGTTTTTTTTTCCTTCAAATTTTTGCTACTGCCCAGTTTTTCATTTTCTTTTTTGCTGATTTTTTCAATTTTTTTTGGGCCTAATTCCCTCTAAATTTTGGACTGAATCCCCCCTTTTTGTGTGTTTGCTTGTGCACATATATGTCTATGAATGCATGGTTCTCCACCATGATAATGTGAGATTTTTCTTTTACAGGATTGTCAAGTGGGAGGGTTGGATGGGACTGAGTTGTGGGCTGTGCAGGGTGGCTGGCAGGAGGGGTTGCAACAAGGTATGGGGAGAAGTTGTGGGCTATGGCAGTAGGAGTGTGGCTGCAAGTTGCAGCTGGTTGTGGGCTACTGGAGGTTGGCAGTGTGATTTGTGGGCAGTAAGGTGGTGGAGATTGACTTGGGAGAGAAAGGATTTCTGCTAAGATTTGAAGTAGTAGGGTGGCTGCTGCAATGGCTTGATATTGTTGACTGAAGGGGAAAAGCATTGTAGGGGCAAGTTGGGGCTGCCAGAATGCTGCAAGCTGGAATTTAGAGTTGAAACTGGGAACCAAATTGGTTCTTGCAACTGGAAACCAAAGCTGGTTCCCTGAAACAGGAGAACAAAATCCTAGAACTAGTTATGGACACTGCAATTTTGCAATTTTTTTCTTTTTGATTTTCTTGTAATTTCGCAATTTTGGTCTTGTAAATTATTATTAAGGCAACTTGGTCTTGTCCAATGTAATCTAACTACTGAACTTTGAATAATTCAATTGTACTCCCAATTGCTGTAATTATTCTTTAAATTAATGTAATTGCATCCTTGGATGTCAAATTCAAGTTATTTTTGTTTTTGTTTTTTGTTTTTTTGTTTTTTTTGTTTTTTTGTTTTTTTGTTTTTTCGTAAATTACTAAGTAACATGAATAAAGAAAGTAAAAAAATAACTAAAAATAAAAATCTTGAAATTTTGGTTATGACAAAGAGTATGCTGCTTTTTTTTCATAGTATCAATGATCTCGTTAGCAAGCCAAGCACCATCCATGTTTTGCCTACCGGAGATAAAAGCTGATTGATTCTCACCAATAACTTTAGAAATACTTTCACGCAATCGAAAAGATAAAAAATGACAAGAACAATAATACAGTTTGTGTGTTATTTTATCTTTGTTCATTTTGTCTCCATTACTCTGGAAGCCATTTTTCAATCTTTCAAACCCATCTCTACTGGAAACAAATCTTCAATAAAAGTTCAAATGATTTTATTTGTTTTTATAATAAATTTTAACTAAAAAAGCTACATAGTTCATTAACGAAATAGAGCTGAATTTTTGTGGTGCTCCATCTTGTTTTATGCAGTTATTTATCTTTCTCCTTGCTAGTTTGATTTATCAATTAAAAAAAAATAAAAAAATAAAAGGCGGCTGAATATGAATATTTTAAAGGGGTAATCCATTGAATTGAATTCTATAACAATCAATATACATTATTCCAGTGTGAAATCGAGTGAAATGCATAACGACCAACAATCATTATTACAATGAGTCCACGTTTAGCCAAGAAATGGCAATAAATAAAAATTCACAAGCCATGAACCTCCTCGTAAAGAAACATAGATGTTCCACTCTGAACCTAGATCAGATAATGAAATTGTTATTATTGTTTATTAATTTTTTAAATTATTATTATTATTATTATTATTTACTATCAAAAGTTTTGGTAATTTTGTAGAGGAAGATAAGTGGAAGTAGAACATAAACAGTAAAATATTACAACTTTTTTTTTTTTTTTTTTGGAAACTTGTGTTAAAGTAATATAAAAACCATTCATGTGATCTCATCTAAGAGCTCTAGTTTTTGGCTTAAGATATTTTTTGACATGTTATCAAAATGGTTATAAGTTCGAATCTAATTACTTTAACTTTCTCTTTTAATTAAATAATTAAGCATAAGATAATGATGGTCGTATGCAAATTTCAAAGTCAAAAGGCTTTAACTTAAAGAGATGTGTTAGAGTAATATAAAGAATAATAATATACATTGTGTTATTCCATCTTTGCTCATTTGCCTCCGTTATTGTCCTAAACTTTTTTCAATCTTTCACACCCATTTCTACTAGAATCAAATCTTCAATAAGAGTTTAAATTATTTTTTATGTTTTTATAACAAATTTTATTTCAAAAAGTACATTGCTCGTTAAAAAATTTTATATGTTTTTAAAACAAATTTTATTTATTTTATGCAGCTACTTTATCTTTCTCCTAGCCAGTTTGATTTATCAATAAAACAAATAATAATAAAACCAATGCACTTGAATATGAAGATTTTAAAGGGGTAATCCAGTAAATTGAATTGTATAACAACCGATACACATCATTCGAGTGTGAAATCAAGTGAAATGCATAACAACCAGCAATACGTAAGGAAACATACATGTCCCACTCTGACCCGGCAATCAGTAATGAAATTTTATTATATATATATATGCACCTTGCTGCTTGCTCGGAATGTGAATAAGGATGTGTATACGTGTGTGGCGATGATTTGACAGAAGAAGAATGAACAAAGGGTTAGGGCTGTGGCTATTGTTCTATATAAGGCCAAGGAGGCTCCACATTTAATAAATAAATAATATAGAAGGTGTTTGCATTGTTATGAGAGACATTTTTCATTTTGACTAACACATCTCTACTATAAACAAATCGTCAGTGGAAGTTCAAATGATTTTTTCAATAATAATTTTGATTAAATAAAACAGATTGTTCCTTAACGAAATGGAGCTGAATGTTTTTGGTGCTGCATCTTAATTTATGCAGCTACTTGTCTTTCTCCTCACCGTTTTGGTTTTCAATTTGGTGCTTTAATAAAGCTAGTTAAATATGAAGATTTTAAAGAGGTAATTAAGTGAATTTAATTTTATAGCAACCAGCATTCATCGTTCCAGTGTGAAATCAAGTGAAATGTATAACAATCAGCAATCAGTATTCCAATGAACCACGGATAGATAATGAAAGTTTTTATTTATTTATTATGCGCCTTGCTGCTTGCTCGGAATGTGAATAAGGATGTGTTTACGTGTGTGGCGATGATTTGACAAAAGAAGAATGACCAGAGGGTTAGGGCTGTGGCTATTGTTCTATATAAGGCCAAGGGGGCCTCCACATTTCTTCACTGCATTCCATCTTTTATCAGTTAGCTAGCTAATTAATTTCCACAGGATTCTGAGCAGATATGCCTACCAGAGTCGCTGAAACACCACTTGACTGCTCTACTGATCTTTTTTTCAAATTGTTCAAGGAGAAAGCATTTCGCTTAACTGATGTCTGCGGTGCTATTGTGCAGAAAATAGAACTTGTTGATGGTACCAGCAGCTGGGTTGATGTTGTTGGTACCCGCAAGCGGATTTACTTCACGCCTTCTCCTGGTACGGAATTAATTGATTTAAGGATGCAATAATTTTATTGTAGTATTGTTCCATGAATACATGCGATGATTTGAATTCTAGCTAGCAAGGAATCACCTGTGATTAAAATTTCTTAAACACATATAATAATTAACCATTGTTTTCTTTTCTTTTTCTTTCTTTCTTTCTTTCTTTCTTTTTTTTTTTTTCCAGGTACTTGGAGAACATCATGTACGAAGTTCAAGCCGTAGATAACTCCAACAACAAAATCGTCTACAAAGTGCTGCAAGGAGCGATGCTGCATCTGTACAAGAACGTCGTGGTCACTTTTGAGGTTACTGCTGCCAGTACCGCAAAGTGGACTATCCAATATGAGAAACTAGATCCATCCAACAAAGACCCTGATGTTTACACCGGACTTTTGGGTACTGTCAACAACAATGTTAATACTTACATTCGTTACGGTGGCGAAGTGTAGGCATCATAAATAACAGAATATGCATGCATGTTCTCGTCCATTTATAAATATGTATTACGTATGGATCTTTTGGTTTGGCTACCATTCTCACTCAGTTAGTAAGGCTGGCTCTTGATATGCTTTACCTTCTAGCTAGGGTGTGCATGAAAAGGCGATGCCTTCTAACAATAGGGTGGGTATTTATCTATGTAATAAAGGTGGCCACCCTTCTATGTACCTTGTTTGTGTCAATGAATAAAAATAATATGCGTGCTTTAGCTACTTCATAAATCTATTGAGTTTTAGAATAATAATAATATTATTATTTTATGGAATTAACACCGCAACGAAATAAGGTTGTTGTTAAAAACTTCAAAACTACTACTAAAAAAAGATAAAATCATCATCTCATTCACTACACCAAAAAAGAGCATTACGGGCGTTTTTTTACTTCTAGAGACGGTTATAACCGCCTCTATAGATTGTAGAGGCGGTTCGAGGACCGCCCCAAGACCGCTTGCAATGCCGCCGTCTCTACGAGTGTAGGGGCGGTTTTGGCAATCGCTGGGGATTTCGAGGCGGTTTCTTGGGACGGTTCAAACCGCCTCAAAATTTATTTTTTAAGGCGGTTGAAACCGCCTCTATGATATCAATATTATCGTTAGATTTTTTTTGCGCGTAATTTTTTAGGCGGTTTAGAACCGCCTCTACGTTCCAGAAGTTTGCAAATTCAAAACAACCTCAAACTATAAAATTCATAATTTGTAGAGGCAGTTAAAACCGCCTCTAAAATATTCATTATGTACTATTTTATTTTTTAAAACGGTATATATACGATTATTTGTCGAGGCAGTTGTGTTACCACCTCCAATGTTTCAATTAGTTTTATTTAACTTTCAAATTTAATATTGAACTCAAAAAAAAAAAAACAAAAAAATTACATATTGTTGAAAGAAAATAAAAGATTAAATTTAAGTACTGAACACTTGCTCCAAATAGCTAAACAAAGTTTCTAATACATCTCAAAATAAATAGCTAATGTTCATAAAAAGCAACCCTCACACTTTTATTAAAAAAATGAAACAGTTATCCTCTTTATTTTCTTTCCAAACATGGTCAAGAGAACTAAAAAGCCCACTTTCCTAAATCTAGATATTTTTTACAAGATTGCATTATCAAATGCAATAAGAAGATATGCCTCAACGCAGTAAACTTTGTAGACAGCCAGCCAAGCTGATAGGGCACCCTCTCTTGTCAATCCTTGATCTAGGCCCATAAAACTTGCATTTTCCAATCCTTGAGCTAGTACCATAAAACTTGCATTTTTTTAATAGACTGTCAGCTGCAATAGATGATGTCTAGGTGTCATGGCCTCAACGAGATGGCATCTCTGCCATACCCTCATCTCTGAAGCTTTTTGACTCTGGCCATATACCTATGCAATAATAAAGTAATACCAAAAGTTAAGTAAATTGTCTAAAATAACAACAATGTCTGCATCTTGATACTGACCTATGTCCATAACACCAATAATGGAACCAACCCCAGAAAGCACCTTGGAAAGAATTCCATCCACAATTTCAGGCTTGAAGTGTAGGAAATCTCTGCTCCTATTTGTTTGAGAACTAAGAAATCTATTTCAAACAACATTAACAACTCCAGGGAAATCTGTGCTGATTTATCAACAAAGAAAGAATTAATTGCATGGCTTTGTTAGAAGTAAATATAATTAATTGCACCAACCATATACTCTTTTTTATGCTTATACCCCTATTCCAATAGCCCATAACTAGAAAGAACATCAACCTATTTTCAAAAGCCATTCACCTTATCTCTCGTCCACATAAATTCTACCTCAACAGTTAGCACTTTAACCTTTTCCTCTCTGCTCCAGTACCCCCAGCAGTCACACCTGTTCTTCACTAGCAAGCACCTACTCACATCAAGCACCTACCCACATCAAGCACCTACCAAACTTTTCTACTTTATCACTAGTCATAAAGGCTTGTTTAATGCCATAATTGAGCTCAGTTCATTAGTAAAATAGGATGAAAATTTATGCCATGATTGGTCATTATGCTATGGGTCTCAATTGCCTAACATTGATTAGATGATTCATTCTTGCTTGCTAGAGTAACCATATATGAATTATTGCTTTCATAATCAAACCAAACTCCTTTAAATTAAGTTCAACCACTAGTACGTTTGAACTCTTGCAATTAAGTAAAAGATCAATGCCAAGCATAAAAGGAAATAGTTGAACATGTTACAGAGACGATCAAGAATAAGAGTCTTTATTCAGTTGAAGTAAAATTCTACACAGAGTTGTAACACTCAATTAATTAAATCTCTAAAACATCCAAATAAACAACATGGGAAAACATATTAAGAAGCAGAACTTCTTACGCTATATTTCTGGCACGTCTTTGACTGAAAAAAATGGAGGCAAAAGCATCATCACATCCTTTGGACCCAAATCCATTAGACCAGATTTTGCTACAAAATCAAACAATAACAATTTACTAAATAAAAATTTCCCAGTTTATTTACAAATATAAGCACTATATATATTACTTTGAAAATGTGGTTCCTCTATCTCACTACAATTCTTCCTTTTCCTCTTGCCTATATCAGCATGAACTGGAACAACATGCTGGTAGTCTGCCATTCCTAAAAAAAATTCCCCAAAGCCAAAGAAACCCAAAGAAATAATCAAACTTTATTCCTTATTCAATAACAAACCCACATGAAGACAGTTCCATACTAACCCTTAAAGTAATATGCCTTTGGTATTCTAGCAATAATATCAGCATGAAACTCATCAATTTCTTGCTTTGCATCATTAATGGGACTTGACTTCTTCTTCTTTTTAGATATTTTCAATAACATACTGTGACAAGAGTGAAGCTCTCCTAAACAGAACTTCCTAAAATGCCAAATTCATGACATTACCTATTAAAATTAATCATGAATAACACAAAGAAAAGATGACAATAAAGGGTTGTAACTGGATTTGGAGTTTTTTGTTGAAGTACCTTGAGAATTGATTCAGTCCCTTCAAGAGTTTGGATAGCCCGAGATGTTGAAGAAGGATAGCTTTGATAATGAACTACAAAACCCTCATTGCTTGGTATCAATCCACTCACTGTCCCTTATTATCACTCCCATTCGTTTTCTTCTTTTATCACTCCCATGAAAGAAACAAATTGAAACACATAGGTGAAATAAAGTAGAGAAACTCACATTGCTTTTAGCAAGAACAAAAAAAATTGGAATACCCAAGTCAAAGAAATGGCAAAAAACCCAAAATTAAATCTAAAATCAAGAAATCTTAACCCCTGAACAAAACTCAAATACCCAATTCTCAAAAGCCCTAAAATATAGAACTTGAAAAGATAACTAAAAACCTCAAAACCCCAATTCAAAACAAAAATATCTTAAACAAAGAAAAAACATCTTCTTTTATTGCTTACCTGAGTTCTGCTAGGATACCCAATAATCTTGTCAATATAAAGCAATCTAGCATCACACACTTCTTAATCTAACTATAAAAGAAGAAAGTCAAGGGAAGAAGAAGAAGAAGAAAGAGACGAGAGAGAGAGAGAGAGATCCTTCAAGAATCAATTACTGTTATTATCGAACGAAAAATGAATGCCAAAACTAGCACCCACTTATCACCAACTTATCACCCATTCCAGCTCTCCCAATTTTGTCAGCTTGCCTTGTTCACCACATGAAACACCCATCATTGCTAAATTCTTTAAGAATTCACGCCATTCCACGGTGTAGGAATCTTAGACGAAGCATGGACTGTAGAAGAATTACAGCACACAAACAACTATATATATGATTTGAAATGATAAGAATTTAAAATTAAAGAATAATCAATTGCATTGCAAATTCCGTGAACTTTAATTTGGTATTGAAATCAAGAAATGAAGGAAGAATTTGGCTTCACCTGAATGCGGCCACGTTGGGGAAATCTTGAAACAGCCTTGCGTTCGCTTAACAAGCCAAGCTCTCTATGCCTTTCTTGCTCCATTTGCAAAAGTAAATCATTAAAGGCTTGTCGCCCTCTTATCTTTGGTGAATTTACAACCTGTGACAAGACTTTCTGCTCTGTCGGATCAGAACCTAAAATGAATTGTTGATATTGATAGAAAAAACCACAAAAAGATTCTAATACAAATTAAGAAAAACAAGATATGACTCTCATATAAACAAGACCATATCACTTATGAGATTATTACCTAAATTTTGAAAACCCACCGTTTGAAGACCTTCTCGCTCAAGAATCAATGAGTCTAGGTATGCAATTGAACTTCATAGCATTGCTTTTGCCAAGAAAAAGGGGCAGAATGAGAAGAAAAAAAAAAAAAAAAACCCCTAATTTTTTGGGGTTGAAGGGGAAGATGAAAAAACCCCTAATTCTTTGTTGTTGATGGAGAAGATGAAAATCCTAATTTCTTTGTCAAGGGAAGGGGGCGATTTGTTGTTGAAGGAGAAAATTCAAGGGGGACGATTTGTTGTTGAAGGAGAAGATTCAAAGGAAGGGGGCGATTTGTTGTTGAGGGAGAAAATTCAAGGGGGACGATTTGTTGTTGAAGGAGAAGATTCAAGGGAAGAGGGGTTGTTTATTGTTGAAGGAGAAGAGATGAAAAATCTGAATTTCTTTTTCAGACGTTGGCGGCTATTTGTTGAAGGAGAAGATAGGGCAGCTTCAGAGGGAAAAATAACCTAAATGAAGTTCTTATGTTAAGTGAGGGGCGAGAGAGAGTGAGGTTTTTGTTTCTCTTTTGAGAATAAAAAAAATATATTAAATATTAAATTTTTAAAGTTGGGGCGGTTTGTGAAACCGCCTCATCATTTTTTTTTTCAAAAAGCAACTGGTGCCCATATACTCTTATTTTTTGGGGGCGGTTAAGACAACCGCTACAATAATTCCGCCTCTAGTCTGATTTGGCTGTGTTTTCGCGAGGAAGCAACTTTGCTTCGGACTATCAAAAGAAGTAAAAGAAGTCTTAAAGAACTAGGCAAAGGAACATGGAATTCGAGAATACACGTGAGTTTGGTTTCTTTCTTTACATGGAAGGCATCGGTGTTTTTTTGCATGCAAGACACCGTTAAAGCTAATTGGAACTCCTTTTCCTTGTAATGGTCACATAGCTCGCAGAAATTGTTAGGAACAAGAAAGCTAAATAAGAGAAAACTTTTACTTCTGCTAAATTCCAGAGACTTATTATACAAACATGCTGCAAAAGTAGCAGCAAGTTTCTATTCCTTAGAATTTTGCCAGCCAGTATGGCCAGGCATTTACACAGAGTGGACTGAGTCCTAATTTAACAAATCATCAATTAGAAGTGAGTTTGGTGTGAATTTGCAATATTTGCAGCTTTGGTCAAGGTGGGGTGAATTGGTAATATTTGCCGATCCTCTTCTACCTCCTTAAGGCCTTCCCAGTAGAAATACTTCACAAATCCAAATAATACAGCTTAAACAGCCTTTAGTTAGGATAACAACACAGGATTTTCGACCCATGACAGTTAAATTAAGTTGCTTAAACTGGTCTTCATATATTGGACCTAACAATCTATACCATATACAATTAGCAGTTCTGCACATATGTAGCTACATAATTTGTTAAGGAACGTGAATCAATATGTTAAGGAAGAAGATCAAGCAATTCAAGTGTATAATATCCAAATGATATGGATAGTCAACTGTCTTTAATAGCACCTTGATCTTAGGATTGTAAATAGGAAACTATATCATAAATGTAGTGATTAGTCACTTTAAGCATTTGTCTCCTGCAACAAAACGTATTTTCCATCAATCAAGAACTAAGTTTTTCTCACAAAATCAAGATATTTGGAAAAAAGAAATAAAAAGGAATAAGGAAACAGTTGATTATTTACAACGATAAAAAAACTATAATTATTGTTGAATTTAGCTTATTAACGTACTCACTTAAAAGTCTTTGACATGATACGATAGTTGACAAATAAACCATACTCAATAATCAATTGAGATAAAAAAATAAATAAATAAATATTAACCAATCTTGTAATCTGATTATTTCAACTCTTTTAAAATGGTGATTTTACATAGAAATAGAGATTTCGTGAATCCCAAATTTTATGATATAGCACAATTTAAAGAAAAAAATAAATAAATAACCCAAACATCAATTAAAAAAAAAGGATTTATAAAGTGTCATTTTTTAAATGAAAACAAAAGCTAAATAGTCTTCTTTTTCAATCTTCAAAAATTTGAAAAAAAAAAAAAAGAAAAGAAAAGAAAATAAACTGAATGCAAAGACCACGTGATATCAAATAACTCCTACAAATATAAAATGCTAGTAACAAATTGAAAATGAGAGCAAGATAATGGTTTATTTTTAATAAATGATACTAAAAATCAAGTAATATCTCATTTCCACTCTCACGTACCAAAGTAATTAGAAATTCGCATCCTACATCTGTCTTCTAATTCAAATAAAAATTTAATACAAGGTGATATCGAGACCGCGGGTGAGTTCAAATTCAACCTTAAAATCAGCATATAAGATTTTTACTTATTAGAGTAATGGAAAATAATATATATAAATAGTCATCCTTGAAACTTTATATAATAATGCTTTTGCCAAAAACATTAACAATTGGATAACACCAATTACGGTTTTTACATTACGTACTTCTTTGACAGTTTCCAAATAAATGCATAAATGTGATACACGTTACAATCACTTTTATTTTTGAAAAAGTAATATAGTATCAAGAAGAAAAGGCAAGAAAATAAAAATAGCTTATTGTATCATAAAAGCACCAAATATATATTTTTTAACCAGATATATATTTTTTAATTATTTTAAAATGTTCGTTCAAAAATGAATAAAAATATATATGAATTAAGTTTTAATAACCATTTTAGCACGGAAGACAATTTATATTTTCTAGGAAAAATTTGATATCATTTTCAATTTTAATTTTTAAACATTTTAAAAATAAAGAAGAAAACTTGTTAATTAATTTGATGTTTCTATTTCTTTCTAAAAAAAATAATTACGATTGAGACATAGCTCCTTAATGAAATGCAGGTGAATTTTAGTATTTTATTATTTTTATTTTTATTTTTTATTTGTTTTTGTGCTGCACCTAGTTTTACAGAGCTACTATCTCATTCTTCTCACCAATTCGGTTTTCAATTTTCATTAAATAAAATATTATGATTTGGTTTATCAAATAAAATAAAAATGCAGCTGAATATGAAGATTTGAAATAGGATAATTAAGGGAACTGAATTGAATAACAACCAACATTACTCATAAATTAAAACGCATGGTAGTTTTACTATTTGAATGAACAGTATGAACATTAACCATCACGCGGTACGGTTCACTTGAACAGTTTGTTTTTTTAAAAAAAAAAAATTAACCCTTAAAAATACTACCCAACCTTAGTTTTTCTTTCCCTTCTTTTTTAATTTTCACTCTTACTTATTTTCTTAATTTTTAAAAATTATTTCATTTATATATATTTTTTTTTAATTTTCACCCTTAGTTTTTTTCCTTAGGTTTTTTTAAAATTTTAAAATTATTTTATTTTGATTTCTAAAATTTTAAAATAAAAATTTTGATCCCTAGCTGATGCACTATATGTCTTTTTTTTATCATTAATTTATGTTCTTCTTTTATTTGATTGATTGTTAAAATTTTTAAAAATATATCATTATTTTTTTCCATACAGTCGATGATTGATTTTACCCTCACACTTTACTACTCAATCTTAGTTTTTTTTTTCCTCTTTTTTTTTAATTTTCACTATTACTTTTTTCTTATTATTTTTTTAATTTTTACTCTTATTGTTTAAAATTATTTCTTCAATTATTATTTTTTTTATCAAAATTCTAATCAAATTAATTTTTTGATATAGTTTTATTTGTTAATAAATTTGCTTTTCTAATATATGAATTTTAAAATAAAATTTTAGAACGTTGGTGTTTTTCTTAAATATATTATTATAATTTATAAATTATATATATATATATATATATATATATATATATATATATATATATATAGAGAGAGAGAGAGAGAGAGAGAGAGAGAGAGAGAGAGAGAGAGAGAGAGAGAGTGAGAGTATATTTTAAATAGTTTGGCTTAATTTTTTTAAAAAATAATTAATAATCAATTTAAAAAGTCATAAGTTTTATTTTTTATTTTATATATATTTATTCAGAATTTATTATAATCAATTTTATTGCAGTTTTTTATTTTAATCTATTGACTTCAATATATTTCATATAATTTAGCGAGCCTAGTCTTTTTTTTCTTCATATATATATATATATATATCAAATTACGTGCATAAAATATAGAAAATAATTTTATTTTTTTTTAGTTTTACGTACATTTTGAAGATGATAGAATATATATAATATTTTTTTTAAGATTTTAGTTTGAACATATATATGTGATTATATTACTCTTATTGTTTAAAATTTATTTCTTCAATTATTTGTTTCTTATTAAAATTCTCATCAAATTAATTTTTTATATAGTTTTATTTGTTAATAATTTTTTTAATATATGAATTTTAGAATAAAATTTTAAAATGTTTGTGTTTTATATTTTGATTATATATATATTAGTTTTATTAGAAATTATTATATATCTACACACATAATACCAATTCTTTATTATTTATTTTTTTATATTCTAAAATTTATTTTTAAAAATAAAATAAGTTACATAATGTTTTGAAGGAACTTTCCAATTATTCAAATATAACTTTTTATGCTAATATGATTAAATATTTTATTGATAACTATGTATATAGATCAAGTGATTTCGCTTAATAAATAGATTCGATTTATATTAATTATCAAAAATAAAAAATTTACTCACGGTATATCATACGAATCGTTAACACTACGTATATAAAAGGTGTTTGACCGTGGTGTAGCACGAGTTCCAATCTAGTACATCACTAATCCAATGTGAAATGTCTAACAACCAACGATCATTAATCCGGTGGGTCCACATTTAGTGAAAAAAGAAAAAGGAAAAAGTGAATTAACTATAAATGATAATATTGGCATGTAGAACCGGAAAGTGATAAAGGGAGGGAATTGAACACTTGGGGGAGAAAGACAGGAATCATACAATTAAATAATTTGCAAAAGAGAAGTTTTGATTTTTGAGTCCTTTCCTTTTATGAAAATCATATAAAAATAGACGTACGTCATTTCATTCTTAACAACCACAACAATTGCAAAGTAATATAAAATTATTTATGAGAACTCATTTAATAATTTAAATTTTGAATTGAAATAATTTTTTGATATAATACTAGTCTTACTAACCTAACAATCAAGAATTCAAATTCTATCACTCTCACTTTTTTTTTAATTAATTAAACACAAGGTAATATAAGTATGTACAAGTTTCAACCCCAAAGAGCTTTCATTTGAGAAAGTTTGTTAAACACTAATATAAAATCATTTATGAGGCCTTACCTAATAGTTTTAACCTTTTTTTTATTATTGAGATAGTCCCTTGACAAGACTAAATATTGTTTTTTATTTTCTCTTATAAATGCACGTTGTTAGTCTGTTTGGAACAAAGATGATAGTATTCATTACCGATGATATTTATTCTTTTATATTTAATCTTTTGAATGTGATTTTAGGATCTATGTGTTGAATTAAGTTTATTTTGTGATTTAAGATATAATTGGAGTC